GAGGATTTGGGTCGGAGGCTGGGGAGAAGGTGGTTTTCTCCCCGCCGTGGGGCTCTCCCCCGACCCCGCCGGTTCCAAGGGCTGCCTTCCTCCCCTCCCCTGCCTTCACTCGCGTTCCTGCCTGCTTCCCAGGGCACCCCTCCTGCCTGCAGTTCACCCCGGTGATGATGGCGGCCGTCAAGACGTACCGCTGGCAATGCATCGAGTGCAAGTGCTGCAATATCTGCGGCACCTCCGAGAACGACGTGAGTACCTCCGGAACGACGGGAGCGCCCTCGGAACGACGGGAGCACCCCCCACCTCCCCTCTCCCGGGAGGAGCGGGGCACCCTCCGGGGACACCCCGGGGTGTCGTCCCCTCCGGCCCTGCGGCAAAGGGATGGGGAAAAGCCCCCCCCGGAGGGTTTGTGAGCAGCCTCTTGCTTTGGGGAGGTTTTAATAATCCGTAGGAGGCGTCGGAGGCTTTTTTGCGGGAAATCTTCGTGCTTTCAGAGTCCGCAGGGCACGGCAGAGGCTTTCTGGGGGGAAAATCTTTGTGCTTTTAATGGTCCGTAGCGCAGAGCAGTCTTTCTGGGGGAAATCTTTGTGCTTTTATAGACCGTAGGACGCGGGAGAGTCTTTTTTGGGGGAAGTTATTTTGCTTTTAATGGTCCATAGGACAGAGTGGAGTCTTTTTTGGGGGAAACCTTTGTGCTATAATAATCTGTATGACACAGGAGATACTTTTGGGGGAACATCTTTGTGCTTTTAATGGTCCGTAGCGCAGAGCAGTCTTTCTGGGGGAAATCTTTGTGCTTTTATAGACCGTAGGACGCGGGAGAGTCTTTTTTGGGGGAAGTTATTTTGCTTTTAATGGTCCATAGGACAGAGCGGAGTCTTTTTTGGGGGAAACCTTTGTGCTATAATAGTCTGTACGACACAGGAGAGATTTTGGGGGGGGAAATCTTTGTGGTTTTATAGATCGTAGGACACAGGAAAGTCTTTTTTAGGGGAAATCTTTGTGCTTTTATAGAGCGTAGAACACATGGTCCATACGACACAGGAGAGTCTTTTTTTGGGGGAATCTTTGTGCTTTTAATGGTCCGTAGCGCAGAGCAGTCTCTCTGGGGGAAATCTTTGTGCTTTAATAGTCCGTAGGACACGGGAGAGTCTGTTTTGGGGAAAATTATTTTGCTTTTAATGGTCCATACGACACAGGAGAGTCTTTTTTTGGGGAAATCCTTGTCCTTTAATAGTCCATAGGACACAGGAGATATTTTGGGGGGAACATCTTTGTGCTTTTAATGGTCCGTAGCGCAGAGCAGTCTTTCTGGGGGAAATCTTTGTGCTTTTATAGACCGTAGGACGCGGGAGAGTCTTTTTTGGGGGAAGTTATCAAAAATCTTTCTTTGGGGGAAAAGGTTGTGCTTTTGGTAGTCCGGAGGACACGGCGATGTCTTTCTGGTCGCTCCGACAGAGCTTGGAAGACGACAGAGAGGGACCCTCGTCCCCTCCACGTTGTCCTTAAGCCCAGGCCGGGTTGAATCATCCGAATTTTCCCCCTTCCCCCCCC